TATTCACCCTCACCCCCATTCCCCATTCTCATCCTACCCACCCATCCCCCACCCCCATTCCTCATCCACTTTCACCCACACTCATCCCACCTACCCATCCCCTCACTTTCCTCCCATCCACCCATCCCCCACTCTCACCCACCTACATCCACCCCCATTCCACCTATGGCCTCCCGCCCCCCATGACTCCAGAAGTAGCCCGACCTTCCCGGCGGTAGGTCAGCCGAAGGGGAAAGGTTGGTGGTACCTTTTTATTTCCCTCGCCAGCCATTCATCCTCAAGGTCGGACTTTTCCTTCCCTTCCCTTCCCTCTCTCCTTCCCTTTCTCTTTCTCTCCTTGTCTCTTCCCTTCCTCTCTTCTTCCTGTCTCCCTTTCGCCTTTCTTTCTCTTCTCTTCTCTTCTTGTCTCTTCCCTCTTCTTCAGTATTCTTTGTCCCTCTCCCCATTTCCCCTCTTTACCGCATATACCCCCCCCCTCCCATGCACACACCAGAGAGAGAGAGAGAGAGAGAGAGAGAGAGAGAGAGAGAGAGAGAGAGAGAGAGAGAGAGAGAGAGAGAGAGAGAGAGAGAGAGAGAGAGAGAGAGAGAGAGCGAGCGAGCAGATTGGGATTGGCATCGCGATAGTGAATAAGAGAGAGAGCGAAGGAAAAAGAAAGACAACAGAAATAGGAACCATCCCCCCCTCCCTTCCAAGCTTTGTAATTACGCACTTCCTCAGTTTCATCCAAGTTGAGTGCACTACACTGGTCGATTAAGAGGCCCCCTTATGATAATCTCAGATAATGCACCACGGAGGAGTCATGAACGGCAAATATTTCCTCGAATGGGAAGGCGAAGAGAGAAAGGACTAAGGGAGACGTCACAGGTTAAATACAACAGGTGTAGGCGTTTCACTGCATATGGTTTCAGTCAGGCGAATTCTGTCATGTTTTCAAGGTTGATGTAATTGGAAGGTTGTCACACTTCATATCTATAAAGGAATTAATAAGATCATGCATGAATGATTTACATATGCACGCACATGTATATACCGTATGTATACTGTGTGGACTTTGATTTATCCACAAGTTGCAAATATATGTAGTGTTGGTGAGTTTCGTATTCAGTTATGCAGCATTTGTTCCTATTTTTTCCCCTCAACAACGAATGTGCGTATGCTCTTAATTATCTTGCTCTCCCCCCCCTCCCCTTCCTACCCCCACATCCACACACCTCCGGACACAGCCATGTAAGTCACGACCGCACTGCGCAAGGGCCCTGAGTGGGTCGCAGGTGAGAGGGATCGGGACCTGAGATAACCCAGGTCACGGAGAGGCGCAGTCAGCCCGGCCGGCGGCATCTGCGGCTGGGAGAGTGAGCAACTCCCACATGGCTTGGCGGATTCGTAGGTAGTTCCGCGTGTGGCTTTCTCTTGGCGCGACCCAGCCCCAAAGTCGGCGCTGCGTGTGGCTTCTTTCCGCGTGCTTGTCATATAGTTTTATTTTTAGAGAGAGAGAGAGAGAAAAAAATTATCCCCGCGCTGTCACTTTCGGAAACTTGATCCCCTCCCCTCCCCTCTCCTCTCCTCTTCCCCTCTCCCTCCCCCCCGGCCTTTCTCTTTCTACCCCCTTTGCTGCTGGTTCCTCCCCTCCCCTCACCCCTTCTGAATTGCAGGAAGATGTTGACTAACCCCTTTCCCGGTGCCTTGCAGGGTGGAGGACGCCGGTCAGGAGGCTCGTGGGTGAAGAGCCCAGGAGTGCGGCGCCCCGAGGTATCCCAGGTGACGCTACAGGGATGGCTGTACAAGCAGGGCGCCGACGGCCTGCACCTCTGGAAGAAGAGGTGGTTCGTCCTCTCCGAGTACTGCCTGTACTATTACAAAGGTAAGATCCTTAGAAGAGGAGGATGTTTAGTCTTTTTAAGGGATTCTCTTTCCATCATGGTTTTAAGTAAGGTTGGAGATTAATGAGGCAATTATCATCGTTTCCTCGTGCCTTTGTTCGGCGTCATCCCCACTCGAGCTTGATCACGAGACGAGCCGGGCATGGGGGCCGAGGAAACGTCCCATTGTGAAGTCCTTATGTAAGACGACCCTCGATGGGGGCTGGCGACGCATCCCACCGATCCGCGTCCTTCTGTGTCGTCCTGCCGTCCTCTCGTGCCGGAAGGAAGTCGTGGAGGTGAAGTACGTAGCTGACGTCATCATGAGCCGTGCTGTCTTCATACTTCATCTGTCGCGAAAATATGATGGATGTGCGGCGTGCATATCAACCCCACAATGTGCGCGGCGGGGCGTAATGCATTTTTTTGTCTGTGACGTTCGAAGCGTTCGAAGACCAGCCGTGTTTTTTTCAGGATCAGAAGTAACTTGTCTGATAATCAGTAGACAATTTGTTTTTTTGCGATTCAGAAATTGATGATAAATAAAATGGCTTTAGGGGTTTAATTTTCATATTATGATAATGAAATGAATACATTGAAGCCACACTGGCCAGATTCGAACTAGTTGAGGCGGGGCCGACGCGGGTCTGCGAATAAAAGCCATTGGCCAGAGGGACCATAGAAATCGAAATTCTATCACCAGGTATTTGGCGCATTATTACGTACATTTCCACGGGAAATATTCGACGTTTACTTCAAATTACGGCCGGTTTCATTTCAAATACCCCAGATCATACACGCCTCACTTAAACGACCCGTTGATGAGGTCTAATTAGGGTAAAAGTCGGCAATTACTTTTGAATCCAGTAATTGTCGTATGGTCGCCATAATTACTCAGCGACGGACGTACAAAAACGCAAATATTTCCACAAAGGCGAACTGGAATCGCTCCGCCCATCTTTGTTGTGGCGACTCGTTCGTTGTCTTCGAAACGGCTTCGACTTCGGCTTAAATATTTGGCTTAGATGATCTCTGGAATGTTGTACAGAGGAAAGGCGTGTACAAGGGCACGTACGCATTTGAATGAACGTGAGTGTTTACATTTGCGGGCATGTACTCGCCTGTTTTGATTGTTTCGTTTCTTCTCGTCTGTTTTCTTTCCTATTCTTTTTTCATCGTTTTACTTTGTCTTTTTTTTTTTTTTTTGCCTCTGCCCTGGTCCCTGTTGCTTCTCAACTTTTGTTCGTTTGTCTGCCTCTTTCTTTCTATTCCTTTCCTTCCTTTCGAGTCCATCTTTTAACTCCCTACCTCCTTCCCTTCCCCTCCCTTCCTCTCCCTTCCCCTCCCTTCCTCTCCCTTCCCTTCCCTTCCCTTCCCTTCCCTTCCCTTCCCTTCCCTTCCCTTCCCTTCCCTTCCCTTCCCTTCCCTCCTTTCTTCCTACCTCCCTTCCTCCCTCCCACCATCCTTTCCAGATCCCTCCCTACCCACCTTCCCTCCCTGATCCCTCCTTACCCACCCTCCCCCCTCCCTCCCTCCCTCCCTGCCCACCTTCCCTTCCTAATCCCTCCCTACCCACCTTGCCTCCTTCCCTACCCTCCCATCCTCATCCCTTCCTAACCCCCCCCCCCCCCAATAAGGCAAGAAGTCCAGTACGGATAACCTGCCGATGTGTCACCTGATGTAATGTGATCTCCCGTCCGCCCGCCCTGGCTAACGTGCCGCCGTGTCCTCGCTATCCTGCCCCCCCCCCCTTTCTTACACGAGGTGGCTTTTGCTTCACCTGCCTATCTCTCTCTCTCTCTCTCTCACTCTCTCTCTCTCTCTCTCTCTCTCTTTCTTTCTTTCTCTTTCTCTCCTTCTCTTTCTTTCTTTCCTTCCCTTCCCCGCCTTCCCTTCCTCCCCCCCCCCTTCCCTGCTTATCTCCCTATCTCCTTTCCCTCCCCCTTCCATGCCTATCTCCCTCCTCTTCCCTATCCCTCCCCCTCCCCCTCCCCCTCCGATTCCCTCTCTCTTCTTCTTTCTCTCCCTCCGATTCCCTCTCTTCCTCTTTCTCTCCCTTCCCGTCCCCCTCTCCCTCTTTCTCATTCTTTTCCTCGCCCAACCGCTTCCTTTATCTTCGCACCTGTCAACTACCCCTCCTCCCCTTAATGCACCTGTATGTTGTATCCAGTCCCTTCCCTTGTCGGGAATGCTGTAATGGTTCTTCTCGTATTTTTGCCAAAAAAAACTACACTAAAGTCGCTTTTTCGAAATAAAGTAATACTACTTCTCATGTTTTGATTCAGATATAAAAGACGACTTTCAACAATCCCGCCTCAATAAAATCTAATTCTCATCCCTCGGTGTAAGGATGGAGGCAGGGGAAGAGGGCAGCAGTGTGTTATGGGTGCACTGTTGCCATACCCGTGTGTGCATGTACCTGCTATTATCCCACGACCACCCCGGGCAACGGAGCGGCGTTAAGCGGGCCCGCTGTGGACATTGGGCCTAAGAATTCGCGGTAGCGGCAGTGCCGTTCGCGGAATCGATAGCAGGTGGAAAGAGGCCGCCGTTGGACACTCGTTACAGCAAGAATCGAGGAGCGAAGGATGAGCCGCGGGTCGGTGTGAGTGAGGTCTTGCAAGATTGCTCGGAATGTTGTTACTCTGGCCGACCCCAGACCCAGTGTTGCCACCTCCCGCCCGCAGGCACACCCCTCGCCTGGCCCACGCACCGGACGCTTCGCCCACCTTTCTGCAACCTGCGGAGCGGAGTATTGGCAGCGAGGGTTTGCTGTGAGGAGGATGCTCAGGGGGCCTAATGCGTTTTTAGACTGGAGCCGATTCCATTCCGGAGATTGGAGAGCGCCACTCGGAACGGCGGCCTTTGTGGCGTCCATTTAATCGCGAACAAGAATGTCGGCGTTGCCAAGGAGGGGGAAATCGCCGCGCTTCTTTATTGCGCTTTTGATGAACACTGAACACTCATTCTCGGGGCTATAATCGCTGGTTATCTTCGTGTTCTGCAACTTGCTAATGCGCGACTCGAAAGGGCGTATCTAAGCCTTTGTGGCTGCAATGTTTTTAGTGCAACAGAGCCTCCTACCCACCCCACCCCCACCTAATGCACGCAGGAAATCAGAGTTTTGCAAATGACGAGGGCGAGGGAGGCGCCACAGCCCCACGCCGGGTCGCCCCCTCGCATCCACGCCCAGCAGTCTCTCTCTCTCTCTCTCTCTCTCTCTCTCTCTCTCTCTCTCTCTCTCTCTCTCTCTCTCTCTCTCTCTCTCTCTCTCTCTCTCTCTCTCTCTCTCTCTCTCACTCTCTCTCTCTCACTCTCTCTCTCTCACTCTCTCTCTCTCACTCTCTCTCTCTCACTCTCTCTCTCTATCTCTATCTATCTATCTATCTATCTATCTATCTTTGTCTTTCTTTGCCTTTGTCTATCTATTTATCTTTTTATCTATCTATCTATCTATCTATCTATCTATCTATATCTATCTATATCTCCCCCTTCTCCTCCCTCTCCCTCTCTCTCTCTGAGGTCATTTCTTTATCCACCCACTTCCTTTACCTTCGCACCCGCCCTGTCTGTTGCACCTGTCAGCTCCTCTCCTCTTCCTCACACTCGGACCCCCTTTCCAATCTGGCGTCGTGACCCTGTTCTTCATGGAAAACCTCGCTGAATATGAAGTGCATTGTTCACGAGGTATCGCCGGCTAGCCTACGTGTCTGACTGGCGGGATTTGTAGGAAGAAGTTCGTAGGGCATACAGGAAAACAAAGTGATTTGGAAACTTGGTGTTTTTTTTCAATGTGAGTTGATATGAGCTAATTGGAAGCCATACCAACCAAAAAACTAAATTTTGATAATTAACTTAGTTGAAAGTGCACTAAAGTTAGGGGCGCCACCTCAAAGCGCCACCTCAAAGCGCCACCTCAAATTTGTTTAGTCACCCCTGAAATCCTCTTTGTTACCGATATCGTTTTCTTTGGCACCCTGATGCATCACGATTAAAGAACTTGAGTTTTAGTGTGAATATTTAGACAGTTTTGATATGTTCTGTTACACAATAACCCCCACAGATCATTTGATAATGCAAACGCAAATTTAATTACAATATACTGCATCGCAAAAATATAAAAGTGACTAGACACTGATTAAAGTATAGTATGCTTGCCCGGACCCACATACATGTGCACATTCTTCATTATATATATATCGCACACGCGCGCGCGCACACACACACACACACACACACACACACACACACACACACACACACACACACACACACACACACACACACACACACACACACACACACACACACACACACACTCACACGCGCGCGCGCTTATGTATTTGACATATTTATTCATATTCTTATTCATATATGTTTATTCATATGTATATATATGTATATATATGTATATATAATAATAATAATAATAATAATAATATGAATGTATGTACGATGGACAGTACCGGGGTGCATGGATACCCATTATTATAAGTATATGAACGTGTAGGGGTAATGATATAGTAGCTGTAGTGGCAACTGTAGTGGGAAAAGTACTAAGAGTATAAGACGTAATAAAAGTAGAAGAAGAAGGAAAAGCAGAAGACAGATATGGAGCAAAAATGCGAGCGCGAGGAGAAAGAGGCGAGGCGGTCAGACCTCCCTCACCTCCTGGGCAGGTCGGGTCAAAAGTGGTGCAGAGTGTGAACCCCGCTTTACAGGGGAGGTCAGGAGTGGATGGCATTAGTAGTACCTGTTGGGCTTAAGAGAGGGTGGGATGGGTGGCGTTAGTACGGCGAGTGGCCACCAGAGGGCCAGGGCAGGTCTCGTGGCCCCATTGGACCCGAGGCGAAAGAGTATGCGGAACTGGGGAGTCCGGTGCACCATGCCATGCTCCGCCTCCGCTTGCGTCCTGGCAACTGGATATTCGGCTTTGTTTATTCCATTATTGGGGACGACATAAGGTATTCTAGCATTGCTCGAATTCATCCAACCGGCCTGAAAACGCCAGACACGAATACATTCTCAGATAGGATCGCTCAGCATTATAACGGTACCAGGCAGCCACGGGCCAGGAGCATGCCCGTCCCACCAACGCTTTACTTTCTTCGGCAGTCGTTCCTTGTTGCTCTTCCACAGTCCAACATCTTTGCAAATCGCTTAGCCAACGTGTTAGATCCACCTCTCTTGCCCTCCAAGTCCAAAAGAAAGAAATAGGCTTTGTAGCGGCGTGTTTAGGAGGAGGTATGCAAGTGTTAAGCTGACCTGGCGATGACACACTTTAACCCATGGCTCTCGTCCAGCGCTTTCGTTCATCTCTCGCGCTGTGTTTACTCTGCACGACCTCTTTTGCCTTCTCTTCGTTCCTTTTTCTTTCTTCCATTTCCCTTCCATCCAGTATGTAGAGACATATGTATTTTCATATTGTGTTTTAGATATTTCTTGTGTGTTGCAGTCAGGGTATTTCGTTTTTCTTCTTTCGTATGAGTTCCCGACGTTGTGTACGAGTGGGCGTGTGGTGGAGAAAATAGTAGGCGGCGGCAGATGGGTACTGTGGCATGTGGGCATCGGGTCAGTTAAAGAAAGTCTGTGGTTGTGTGTGTGAGCGTCGGTGTTTCGCTCCGTGCGTGTCTCTCCC